AATATTGTAATGTTCTTTATTAGTGTGGATAGTTGACCAAAAAGAAACTAGTATGATATAGAATCTCCTCATATATGACGAATTTAAGTATCTATATATATATATATATTATGTCAACCCATGGAATTTATATAAGATGTGTTATTGGATCTTAATCGGTTTCAAGAAGGAATATATAGATAAACTCATCCCACAAACATCTATACTTACAAAATAATAGGTTTTACAAATAAGAAATACAAAATTATAAAAAAAAAATATTATTAAATAATTATAAAAAGAACATGATGATACTTAAATTCGTCATATATGAGGAGATTCTATATCATACTAGTTTCTTTTTGGTCAACTATCCACACTAATAAAGAACATTACAATATTTAAGCTTTTCATACCTTCATGCTCGAGTCTAAGGGTTGGGACTCTATGTTGTATTAGCCTCCCTTAGGCTAATTATCTACATTGATAGAGATTATGATGACACTTAAATTCTTTGTACCTTTATGCTTGAGTCAGGGAACTCGATTTCTATGACGTGTTGGAATAATGTCAAGTTCTTGGACCAAGCTCGTATATGGTTCCTGTTTCCTATATATAATACTGAACTCCTAGATTATTTTTGAGTTACTTGCCTCGACCATAAAGTCTCAGGTAATAACCGATATTATTTACTTGTAAGATAATCTAGTTGGATGCATATGATTTGTGAAACAATTACAATAACAATTATAATGGCTAAGATCCATGAGTCATGATTTGTGGGATTGTGGTAAGAAATCACAGATCATTGTTTGAGAAATGAAACTAATATATGTAGGCTCGAAAGTCTCGAGAAAATCAAATTACATTCACCGAATGTTTTAGACTGAATAGTAACTAGATTTCCTTAGTGATTGTCTCATCCAAGATTCTCCAATAGTAGTGCTACATATCAGAACAATTAGTAAGACAAAAAATAATAATTAAATTGAGAAAATATGAAAATAAATTATTTGAATAAGGAAATGTGATTTTTTTGTCTATTAATTTAATATAAAATACCAAAATTCAAGAATTAATATTAAATTTTTAATTATCTATCACGAACAGTATAATGTAAATATTTTAAATTCTTCAACGCCTTACAGAGGAATCAAAGTATACTTTTTTTTAGGTGGAACGTATTATATGGTTTACTCTGCTTTTTCTTTAAACATTTTATTAATACAAAATATTACAACGATGATAAAGAGAATCAAACATAAGTGTTATAACCCTAAGCGTGTGGTTCAGCGGTAGGGGTTGATCCACGTTTAAGTAAGGTCAGGGGTTTGAATCCTGCCTTGTGTATGCAGCCGCGTTAAATCTTGGAGCCAGCTATCCCACCTTTTGAGGTGCCTCCAACGTAGCGAGGAGATTAAACACAAAAGATTTTAGCAGAACGGCCTGTACTGCTTGTAGAACGGGCCGTTTTGCACCCGTTCCAGATGAACAAACAGAAGAAAGTAAACAAAAAATTTGCGTAGACAAGAAACTAACCTCAAACGTGTAATGTGCAGACACTTAAAGAATTATAAACGTCCAATGTACACACAAACTCACTGGGAGACTTAGAGAATGAGAGAAAATGGATTATTAGTTTCCGTAAACAGGGAGCGCGGGAATGAAAAATGAAACTTGCATGAATATAAGGCCATATTCACGTCGAGTATGTGGGGTGCGACGTAAATTTACGTCGGACCAGGGGGAGTCCGACGTAAATTTACGTCGGATAGTGAGAGAGCCGACGTTAATGAGCTAATTTACGTCGGACCCCCCTTTGTCCGACGTAAATTAGTTCCCGTTATTTACCATTCTGCCACCGCGTTTTTATAATGTCGGTGGTTCCTTGTTCCGACGTGATTTAGGTGACGTAAAAGCGTCTTTTTGCACTAGTGGTTAACTACCAACCCTAAACACACTATTTAATTAGTGCAAAAAATGCATTAATGACAGATAAGATTGTTAGAAGATAAAAAGTGAATGAAAAAGAAACAAAAGACAATAATAGAAGACATATTTGTGATCTAAAGTCTAAAATGTTTTAATCTAAAAGTTGAAAGATATGTGATTAAGCCATCAGGTTGAAAAAGGATAATTTTAATAATCAAACTAATTATAATTAATTTGATTTAGTTTTAAATTTAAAAGTAAAAAATTAACCAAATTAATTAGTTTGGTTAGTTTGATGGATTCATTAGGTCAAATTTAATTCTATAATCACTCCTATAAGAAATTTTTTAACTTATTTTATCATGTCAACATGTAATGCGTGGACCTATTTTAATGTGCAAACTTAAAAATAGTGTTTTCTCTCTTTACTTAACAAAATAAGAAATACAAATCAAAATCCGAATTGTAAAGCCTAAAACTAAAAGTTAGTATGTAGATAAAAAAAACAAAAAAAAAAAACTGAAATATGTGGAAGTTCTAATGTGAAGTGATATTTATTGATGATAAACAATAACATAAGAGTAAATTAAATGAAAAAAAAAACTTAAAAAATTAATAAAAAAATGTAATACATCTTTTTGAGACTCGTCTTAAATTATGTTGTTTCATTTATATAATAAAATGTATGTATAATTTTTAATGAAATTACACACAAGCACACCCAACCACCTACACACGTCTATTATTACATTCTCTAATAAAATATCATGATCAATCTTGAATAAAGTCTTCTTATTGCATTCTACGCACACACATCTATTATTGCACTTTAGACACAAAAAATATCATGATCGGTCCTAAATAAAATGTTCTTATCTTTTTTTTTTTTTCAACAAAAATATTTTACACTTATAGTTATTTTTTATAGAATAAATAGTATGAACACTAAAAAATAAAAATAATTTTTTATATTGTCATATAATCACATATGACAAATAAATAATTTAACTTTTATAATAATCATCTTAAAAATTATAGTAACCATAACTTTTTTGTATTAATAGTATATAAAAAAAACATGTAAAGGAAAAGTTGATGTCTATTAAACTGTGTTTGAAAGGTATGCATCAGTTCTAACTACTAAGTACTATTAAATTAAGTTTTGTTGCTCTAAATATAATAAAATTTCTTGTAGATTTCAGAATCATGAACATTAGAGCATGTTGTCACATTACTTAGTTTTGGCTTATGTGGTGATACTTTTAGAAAGAGAATTTTGGAAATTAAGTAAAGGAGAAAGGAAGAGTGAAAATTGCATGTTACAGTCCCTCATGTTCATGTTATTTTAGGAGAATTGAGGCATAAAAAAACGAAAAGACAGAAGAGAGAGTGGGAAGCACAAGAAGTCCATGGAATGTGTGGTGATGCAGACATGAGAGAATGCAAAAGCATAATAGCAGAGACTCATATAAATAAAAAGTTAAGTGAAGGAAGCACCGCAAATTCCGTGGTTCCAGGCTTGCACTCCAATCATCTCGTGCACCAATCGTTGAGCCAAAGTAATGCCCTCTCTCTCACACACATGCATGTATACATGTTTGTCTTTCTTTTTCTTCTGCAAGACGTGTTAGTAACTAAACCAACATTCATTAAAATATCCCATCAAGTGAAACATTCATTAGAATTCAACCTCTTGTGTGTGGTTTGGATCACCAAGTTAGTGAAGAGTTGAAGAAAGCTCCAATTGGTAGCACAAAATTTAGCTTTAATTTTCTAATGGTTAATTTACAGTTGAGCCAAATTTAGATCTGCAAGCTAGTGAAAAAGATTGAGAGGTTGGAGTCACATGCCACCTGATTATAGAATGAGAAATAGGGAATCCACACCAAATGTGAGAGTGGGGATCAGTGGTAAATAGTTAACTAAAATTTTAGTCAATGGTACGTAAATGGTAAACCATGTTTTTAATAAGTCTAACTTTTTAAGTCAATTGTTGTCTAAAAAGAATACTACGGAATACTTATGATTTTAATTATAAACAGTAAATTGATATATTTTTTTTTAATTATAAGCAACTATAATTGATTTTTAAAATTACTTAAAGGATAATTTTTTTTTTATATTCTTAATTTTTTAATGTATTCACTTATAATTGATATTAAATATAGTGATTATTTAAAATAAAGAATATAATTGAAATTTGTGGTAGAATTAATTAAAAACAATCAATTTAATTATTTTTCTTGGTTTCGATGATTCTTCTGTGTTACTTATAATTAAAATTGGAAGAAATAACCTTTTACTCAATTAAAATTAACAATTTTCTTATTTAAACCAGATCTTAAAATATAAATGAATAAATAAAAGTAAAATTAATAGAATAGATATCTAATAAAATTAAAAAATATATAAATTATAAACGTAGTCTTATTTATTTATATCTTTACTTATTCTTTTATAACTTTAATTACTTAAATATCTTTTAGATATGTTTAAACTTTGTAATATGTTAATTATATATATTTAATGTTTATTTATTAGACTTGTTATTATAATAATTAAATACACATTGATTAGTATTTAAATTATTAATATTCTTACATACTTTTATTTATTTGGGTAACCAAGTAAAGTATCACCAATTTTATCAATAATTAATTTCTATGAGATTATTTTTAATAAATATTTTCTCTTCAATCATAGTTTTCTATTCACAATATTCAAATTTTAATATTTTAAGCAAAGCAATTCGATATTTATTTTTAGGTAAATATAATATTTTGAGATATAAAAATGAATATACTAAAATGGGTTGGAAGATTTAGATGATGGGCGTGGTGAAAGTCATGACCTTGGGAAATAGTAATTACTGAGAGTAGGAGTGGAAAGGAAAAGAAAAGAAAAAAAGAGAGGTAATAAAGAGCATGAAGAGGAAGCTTTGGTTGGGTTGTTTTAATTTGGTGAAGTGCGTTGGCAAAGTGTGAGAAAGAGAGTGTGAGACGGACTTGTCTTCCAATCTGTTCACCCTTGTCCAAATTTGGTCACTTTCTGTTAAATTGCATTATTTTTGGTCTATCTTTTTCTCGACTGCTATATTCTCTCTTCTAGTTTTCTAAATTTTTAAGCCTATAATTAAACACTTCCAAAACTTGGATTGCTGTTTCACAGTTAGTGTTGTATTGCATTGGGTGGCCTTTGACTCCTCCGACTTATTATATCCTTCACTCCCTATCTTTATATAACATCCAACCCCCACTCTCCTTTCTCCTAGCCTCTCTCTTTGCTCCTTCACCATCATGGAAGCACCAGAGGAACTCAAAGATCACACCAACATTCTCAAAGGCAAAAGAACCAAAAGGGTAAGGCCACAATCCCCTATCCCCTTCTCCATCACCGCCAATTCCTCTACAGGAGGAGATGGTGATAGAGAAGAAGAAGAAGAAGATTGCAACAACAACAATCTTCGTATTAATAACAACAACAATAACAACAACAACAATAGTCAGAGCTCCCCCACAACTTCCTCGGCGGGGTTACAGGACAGCACAGATGAAGAGGAGGATATGGCGAATTGCCTTATCCTCCTAGCACAAGGGCAGTCCCGGGAACCGCAGCGTCTGCCCGCCGAGGAAGACGGGGGCATGAGCTACGCCAAGTACAGCAGTAGGAAATTCTTGGAAGCGGCTACGTTGGGGTCTAGCAGGGCAGGGTACTATGTTTATGAATGCAAGACATGCAACAGAACTTTCCCTTCGTTTCAAGCACTTGGAGGCCACAGGGCTAGTCACAAGAAGCCTAAGGCAATGATGGGAATTGGCCAAGAGAAGAAGCACCAACTCCTTTTGTCATCAGATGAGGAAGAGTTTCAATTCAAGACCAACAAGTCACCGTTCTCCCTTCAGCTCAATAACAACAATTCAAAGGGGAATTTGTATACAAGCAACAACAACAAGTCCAAGGTGCACGAGTGCTCCATCTGTGGTGCTGAATTCACATCAGGACAGGCACTTGGAGGTCACATGAGACGCCACCGTGCACCGGTCGGAACCGCCATCCCTGCCGCCGCCACCACTCTCTCCTTCACCCCATTGCCTTTGGAACCGGAAGAAGATCACCCCAGGAAGAAAAGGAATGTCTTGAATTTGGATTTGGATCTCAACCTTCCTGCTCCAGAAGATGATCAAAGAGAATCCAAGTTTGCCTTCGCATCCAAGCAACAACAACAACATGGCCAGAAACAACAACAACAACAACAACAACAAACAAGTCTTGTCTTCCCCGCACCAGCTTTGGTGGATTGTCATTATTAACAAGGTTCTAGCATGATATTTCACAAGATGATGGCGAAAGTGAAACTGGGTTAATGTGCAATTTTGGCCATACTTCTGTTGTTGTCTGATTATTTTTTTTAAAATTTTTTTGATCTATACATTTGTTATGATAATTTTCATGACATGATTCTTTTGATTCTTTGTCAACTTGATCGAGCCTGAGGCATGGGTGAGGTCAGTTGTTTATTGGAGAAAGTTTAAATTTGTTCTGTGAAAAGACCCCTACAACTCATGGATAGCGCATGTTGGGTATCTTTTTTCACTTGCTTTTGATTGGTGTTTGGCTCTTTTTCCATGCCAGAGAATGTGATGTATTATGACTGCAGAGAGGGTGTTGGTACTATGCAAAAAGTCTTTGTTTAAGTTTCATTGTTTTGTCCACAAGAAAACATGTCTTCTCTCTCTCTCTCTGTGTGAGTGTGTTCCCCCCATATTGGTCATGGAAATAGAATAAAAGTAGGGACAGCCAGTAAGTAACTGCTATTTCCACATGAATCCTCAAGGTGTCCTTTTTCCCCTTTACCAATATGTTGTCATTAAAAAATTATGCTAATGTTCAGCTAATTTTGTTTTTTTCTTTGCTTGTTCTCTTTCTGTGCTAGTTAATTGCCTACTCATTACACCTAAGCAACCTCATGCTTCATCATCCATCAATTTCTCATCCCAATCCTCTAAATTGGCTTAGCTACACCTAATAATAAGTACCAAAATTACAGCAGATCAAATCCACAATCCAGGCTCTGTTAAGTTATTGAACACATTAATAAACCATACGAAAATTTGAATTTCTTTACTTTTTGATGAAGCAGAAAGAGGCGTTGAAGAAAAATGAGTTACTCCATAAATATAGGTTTACACTCAACCTATTATTATCAAGGCCATTGTATTTATAAGATTTATTAATATACAAACATTTTATAATCAAAGTTCCTTTTCTTTTCTGTTTCTTTTTTTTTTTTTCTCAAAATAAATGAATCTAAATCATTAAAGTGAGTGTTAGATGGGTGAAAATTGAAGTATAAATTTTATGAGACAGATTTAATTGGTGTCATGTGGTCGTCTTGATTCACCAAGCCGATCTACCTAGGATATCTGAGAACTTCATCTGCAAAGATGTCATCCTGTCGAATTTGAGATGGGATCCGTACAAGGATAGATAGCAATTGAATTCGGCCCAAAATGACTTCATTCACCAACTATCAGAGCAACATAAACCTATGACACATCTCATATTGAATGCAACAAACTAACAATTGTTTCAAAGTTTGTTGATTCTTTTATTTACATTCATTCATTTTTCTTGGTTCTCTTCAGAGTAGACGAATTAATGCTTCTTGTTGAAGCACACTTTGCCTTTCTGGATTACACCAACATTTGTGTAGACAAGAGTATATTTGTAGAGGCATAGTATACAATACACAATACACCACTCTTCAATATGCTTTGCCTCTACCCCACACTTTACCTACCACTTTTATCTGTTACTTCTACGCTTGCGTGTTACAGCATCCCAACTAGACACTCAGATTTTTCTGTGGTTATAAGTTACTCACCGTAGTGTTTTTCTTTTTCATAACTAATTTATATTTTGTATTGTAATAAGCATCTCTTACAGATGCCAATATTGGAGCTTCTACTTTCTCTTGTTTTTCTGCAGTTGTCTATATATATAACTTACAAATCTCATGTATAAATACTGTGTTTCAATTTCAATATAAAAATGTGATACAAATAATATATTGTTTGATTTACAGGTCTTCTGTTATCGAAATGAAATGTTATTTATAGAATATGTAAATTTAGAATCGACTAAAATTACATAACCAATACTGGTTGGGTCTTGTGTCTAACATGGTGTTTCAATACAGGTGGATGTAAACAACAAAAAATAATAATAATAATAATAATAATAATAATAAAAAAAAAAAAAATATCGTGCACGTGCATACCTTTTATCAACATCTCAACCACCAAATTTTAGTCATAAATAGTTGTTTTTATATTAATATTTTAGCTATTGAATAAATATTTATTTTATATAACTATAATTTATATTAAATTAGGTTATTTTTAATTATTGATATTTAAAAATATTAACATTCTATATGAAACTAAAAGTAAAAAATAAATTAAAAGAGATAAGAGATTAAAAAAAAATCTTCAAAAAACTCTAAGCTAAAAACGTTTTCGTCAAATAATAGTTAAAAACACTGATTTTTGGGCTATTTTAATATTTATATAAAATTGAAATAAGTATATTTAATATAAAAATATATATATTTAAAATTTACATTAAACAATTTAAAATTTAAAATTTTTGTTGCAACAGTTGGTTTATAACAACATTTCTACCTTGTAATGAGTTGACAGTGAGAGTAGACATTAATTAAGAGAATGTATATAACAAAATGGAAACATGGTGATTTAATTATAGAACTCATTCAGAGAATTACCTGGGAACGAAAAGGAACTAGATGAAGCATTCGGTAGTAATATGATTGTTAATTAAAACGCCCTCAATTGCTAGTAATTAATACAAGAAAATAGATTGTATAAATTATAATATTCATATGCTATAGAAACTAATAAAAATAATTAATATCATTTCTTGTTACTTCGGTTTTCCTTTCTTATATTAATTGATGTTTTAAAATTAGTTTTTTCAATAAATTCTTTTTTTCCTATGCAAATAAAATACGGAAAGGAAAGGAACAAATAAATAAAGAAAAAAAAAGTTATGCACAAAAGTAAAAGAAGTTAAATATATAAAAGTAATTATAGAATAAGAGTGTGATGTTCATTAATTCTAGAGTTTATGTGAGAAATGTGACGAGATGAAAAATGATTAATATATAAACATTTATACTAATGTAATATGTAAAATTAGTTTTATAGTAACATGCTGATAATTCTTATCTCAGCTTTTATATTATAAACATAATTAATTTGTCATATATATATTGTAATTGATTTGATAAAATTGTAGTTTTATAGTAATTGATTTGATAAAATAGATTACAAGAATAACAATTATATTGTAACTGGTATTAAATTTACATTTAATGATAATTAATTATAAATACAAATTCTATAATTAGATTTCAATTAATTAAATTACACTACTATACTATTAAACATAAACATCAATTATTTAATGTCGTTTAGTTATATTTAATTTGCGAAAAATCATATGCTGTAAGAAATAATTTGTGATATATTAATCAATTATATATTTTATATATTTGAATTATGTTTTTTTTTCTTTAATTCTTATATTAAAATTTATCATTTGAAATTCATGGTGGAATTATAATATTTTTATTATGTTAATTTTTTTTTTTTTCATCCCTGGAGTATCCAGGGTAACTAATCTCTTCGCTGGAGGCACCTCAAAGGGTGAGACAGCTGATCCCAAAATTTAACGCGGCTGCATACACAAGGTAGGATTCGAACCTCTGACCTTGCTTAATCATGAATCCACCCTTACCGCTGAACCACACGCTTAGGATTATTTTAATTTTTTTATTTTACAAATTCTTAATAAATTTAAACTAATTAGGTATATTTAAGTACAATCGTTCACACTTATTTCAATAAAATTGATTATAAAAATAATAATTATATTGTAATTGATATTGAATTTACACTTAATGATAATTAATTATAGATGAAATTTATAATTAAATATCAATTAACTAAATTATATACTATGTAACAAAAAAATAATTATTTAATATCTTTTAATTATAATTAATTGTATTTTTATTACACAGCATAATATGTGATATTTAATTTACAATTAATTTTAATTACTATTATTAACAATCATTAATTTTACATAATTATATTATTCTATACAATTCCAAATTCAAATGCATATATTAACTTAATTATATTTAATTAAAATTTTAATTTATGCTTTTATATGTTATGAATATTAAAAATCACAATAAATTCATGTTTATTTCATCTAAAATACTTTATTTATAATGATATGATATTTATATGCTCTCATTTAAAATTAAAACTCATAAAATTTTGTTATAATTAACCATTTATAATAATAGGTTACATGATAAAATTGTGACACTATTAATTTTTTTTATCTTATTCATTCTTTTTTTTATACATATTTTACCTATGATAAATTTAAATTAAATTTTACATATTTAAGTATAATAATTTATGTTTAATTTAATAAAATTATTTACAATAATATTTGTTTTATTACGATTTATAATATGTTAACACCAGATTCTAATTAGTTAAAAAAATCTATAATTACATATCGATCAATTTAATTATATATATGACTGTTAATTTCAAAATATAGCTTACTCATATATTAAAAAGATAGTGTTCTTTCATGTCTTAAAACTTCTAATAGAAAAAGTTTAATTTTTTTCCAAAAGATATAAAATATCTATACAAGAAATATAATATTGATAATTATGCTAAGAAGATTTATGTTAGATTATTATTTTAAATATTTTTTAATGCAAAAATTAGAGAGAAAAATTATAATAATAAATTAATTATTGATAGAAAAAATTATATGCAAATTAACAAATTAAATAATTAAATTATATATTCAATATATTTTAATTAAATAAAATTTAAATAATTCATTATTTTTTTTATCCCACGGATCAATATCTAGTTGGTGGTTAAATATGAGAAAGAAAAGTGCGATTAAAATATTTAGATTAATATTTGATTTGTTATCCTTTATGTAAAATTAATAATTTTATTTTTTGATAATTTGAAAAATAGTAATTTTAAGGTTTATGTTACAGGAGTCTATCTTATATTAAAAAAATATATTATTTAAAATTTTGACAACAATATCAATTTGTGTAAACATTAAAATGAACAAAATTCGAGTATCTAATCTCAATAGATTTCACTTAATACCAATTGAGTTTTATCCTATGTAAATTTTAAAAAAATATTTTGATTGTTGAGAAAATTGAAACAAAATCTTTAATTTAAATAAAACAAAAAAAAAGATATTTTAATTAGTGATAAGAAAAATATGCTAAATTAAAAGTGATAAGGGATTAAGAACATAAAGTATACAAAAAAGAGTACGTCCGAAATATTTAAAGAGAACAAGAGTATAGAGAAGAGGCAACAATTGTGTCTGCAACAGCTTGAAACCATATTTCTATACCTTTCATTCTATACGAAATAAGTAACCAATATTGTTACCTATACCTTTCATTCTATACGAAATTAACTTGTAACAATAGAAAGGGAAAAAAATGGGGAATTGCTTTCATTCTTAATGTACAAACTTGAAGAAAGAAAAAAAAATACTGTAAGAATTATTTTGTTATGCTGGTCTGCAAATCTCTTTAGCAAATGGTGCACCATCTCAATTAATGGAGAGCAAAATAGAGGAAGCTCAAGGCAGTGGTGAACACAGCAATTACAGACCTATTATTCGTATTGCAAAGAAAACACAGAAAGAACCCATATTAGCTTATTAAGCATTTCACACAATAACTAATAAATGATGTCACGACACAAAATATGTTTATACCTTGTTGTATGTGAATTATGTGCCATGGATGATGGAGGATTTGGTGCAGGAGAGACTGAGGGAGCAGGGATTGGAGCTGGGGGTTGAAACTTGCCTGTGCACATTCAAAACCATGAATACTATCATAATCATTGTTTTCATAATCATCATTCATCAATGAATGTTTGTAAAGGAGAAAAAGAGAAGACAGATTAAAGTTGTAACATGAACTAACCACATCGAAGGAGATTCGGTGGAGGTGGCTTCTCCTTGGCAGGGTCAGGATCAGCATCATAAACCCTCACATAAAGCTCTTCACCTAAATACCAGCTTTCCAAGTTCTGTGATCTCAGGTTCCACATTCCAGGGTTGTCAGGGTACACATACACTGCACTCCACCCTCCAGGGTACACTTGCACAGTGGACCGAGCAACAGGATCATAAAGGTTATAAGTTGAGCGTAATCCTGGATTCCATTCTCCATACCCCATTCTAAACACAAACATTGGTTATAAACATTTGTTATTTATGATTTATGAAATTTCATATACAATAAAATATGCTAATGTGGAACTTACAATGAACTCAAGTTCATAACAATATATATTTATAGACAATTTTATAATACTGATCATTTTGACTTGTGCTTCCGAATTATCTAAATGTTGTCATGCATGGTATTCTACATGAACATGATTTTATAGTAACACTCTTTACATTAAGTTGATTACTTAATCACTTGCCATATGTTAGACTTGATGTGGTGTGCTCGTGTTACATGTGTAAGGTTTAAATGAACAGGTTGTTTAGTGACAGAACTAGTAAAGTAATGCGATATATTAATATCACTATGGTTACACTTACCCGACGACAAAGAAGCTATATCCATCCAAATGCCAAGAATCAATAATGTATAAATTGTTATGAAGCACTATCTCTGTCCACCCTTTATGCAATGCACTAGCTACGAAAACTCCACGCACAGCATTAACATTTGAAGTGTTCTTAGAATAAGCATCAAGTTCATATACTCCTGTTCCATTGGAAAAGTAATCAGCTAGCTTGAGTGGTGTGTCTGGGGTCAAGTAAGACACGTTGTTGACAGTGTAACGAGATGACCCATTTATAGTTGCTTTTGATGCCTGGAGAATGAAAGTCTCAGATATTGTCACATTTGATACATTGAATGTTCCCTGAGGATTAGGCCTTGCAGCTCCAGCGGTTAGGTTCCACCTTCAATTCAAATAAACCCACAATGTGAATGTTTGCATATGACCTCAAAGTCAGATTAAGCTTTCATGACTTCTCAAAGTTGTTTAGAGGTATTATTGCTATTGCTAACATTGTTATAGTATGTTGACATAAAGCAAACCAACAAAAAAATTGAGAGCACCATTTTGTGCATGCTTACCTAATGGATTTTGCTTGGTTGATGGAAAACTGCAGATCATATGGATATGGACCACATGGGAGAGACCCATTAGCCGGTGAGGTAGAGTTATTATAATGAAGCACAGCAACGCCAACAAGAGTGCTATTATTGGTGGCATCACTCATTTTAGGAGAGGCCACTATGTAGTAATCAGCAGCATATTGGTTTGCTGTGACAAGAACTGAGTAGGATTGGCCTACATGAACGTCAAGAGACTCCAACGGTATTTGGTTCACATAAGAACCTTCGGTTTCAACCAAAACCATTTGATGATTTTGAATCCTGAAATTGAAGCTCCAAGCTGTCCCTACGTTTGATATCCTAAGCAAATATGTTTTACCTGTCACACATTGTTATAAAGGAGTTAAATTAATTGACAATGATCATAAAGTGAGTCGCTAACACTTCTCTTATTCACTTCTTACCTGGTGTAACATTGAAAGTCTCATATGATTGAGATAAATTGTGCATATATGGCCTTTTTCCATTTATTAGCATCCAACCAGGGGGAAGAACATCTCGCATATCCAACCTAGACCTAATATCCTAGTTGAAATTATAATAAAAATGTTCATTAGTCAGGATTAGTAAATAAATAAAAAAAATACAAAGAATTAGTATTAATAAATTAAAGATCATAAAATGGATTAGCATTCTATGGAATTGCTAATGCCATTGTAATATCAATGTTCAAATGTGAGTATCAATGGACAAATAACAAGAAAGCAGTCAGTTTAGTTACCTTGTAGCTACTGCTGTACCAGTCACCAATTAGAACATCATACTCTGCCTCAGGTTTTGGAAAAGGAACACTTATCACAGCTCGATTGTTGACTCGAATTGGACCAAACCCTCCACCAGCTTTAAGGAAATTGATGGAAGGAAAGTAAGAGAATGTGCCAATCTGGTCTTTGGTTTGGAAAACATACGTCCAATTCTTGCCAGGTTGGATGGGGCAGTTTGAGCCAGACACTCCATCTTGCCATGAATCCAGCCTTTGCTGAATGCCATTCCTACATCAAAACCAAAAATTTATAAGTTTAGTGCCAAAATAAGCAAAATATATGAATCTTGGAAAACTGTAGAGTATTTGTCCAAGGCCAGGAGTAGATATTATATACCATGTAAACAGCAAGGGATCATCCAAATTATTGTAAACATTGACATGAACAACATCATTTGTTGTTGCATTTATAAGGGGTCCCGGGAACATGCCATTGATTGTTATCACCTGTAAATCATATCAGCAACGAAATTAGGCCACGATGTATTACTCAAACAAATAAAAAAGATGAATATATCAAAGGCTATAATCCCACCGGTTGATCAATAGAAACAGGCTTTAAGTTGAAATCAGCAGAAACGTGCCAATCAAGGAATATATCATCACTGGTGACTGTAGTGACAAAGAGTGGTAACAGCAGAATGGCACATGTAACAAGTTTCAGTTGAGGAGAAGCTGAACTTGCAGCCATTGTTGCTAAGGATGTGACTAAAAGTGGCTCTTAATCGTTAAGTTTGAAGATCATGGCCTCAACACTCAACAGTTTAAATAGCTTTGAATTAATCTATCAATTGCTAAATATAAGGAAGAAAAGTCCGAGAGATTGGGTTAAATTTAAATACAACAGCCGGCCTATAACATTATCAATTTGAATTGATATTGGATTTTGCAATCTTTTATTCAAATTTATAATCTTTCTTGTTAATTTTACAAATTACAAATTTTAAACTGTGTTTCTGGTTCTGGAGCCTATCTTATCTAAAAGAAAATGATATATTACTAATTTTTAAAATTTTTCTGTTGGATCAAATCTCTTTCTAAATAAACTATTTCTATAAATTATCGCATTAAGCCAATTTTTAGGCAAATCATAAAATGATAAAGAAATATGATAATTAATTTATTATTTTTTTAGAGAAACAGACTTATCATTTCAATAGAAATTCTATGAGTAACACAACTTGGGATGATAAAAAATAGAGGACCTAGCATAATTCTTAGATGCTTGAGCAGCAACTGATAATTAATTCCAAGAGATAAAAAAAATATTAAAAGATAAACTAAATTTTTAGGATATTTTTATATATTCAAATAAGAAGCTATAATCTTTTATATATGTAAATTTAAATATTTATCCTGAAATTATTTTTAGAAAATTTTTTAAATCTCTTAATTCTTTTAATCTATATTTTTATCTTTATCTCTAAATTAAATTTTAATATCATCCATATATATAAATTAGAATAATTATCTTAAAAAAATATTTATGGAAATCATTTTTTAACAAAAAAATTTTAACTATTTTTTTTAAAGTATTTTAAAAAATCTGAACTTATTATCTTTTGAAAGAGCTTAAGGATAGTTAAAGTAACGTTATATCATTTATTATAAATGGTAGCATAAAAAAGGTACTTCATACCTTCATGTATTTTATATATAAAAAAAATTAAATAAGTAAATAAAATAATTTGTGTTAAATATGTGTTAGTAGTTAACAATTAGAGAATGTGAATGATTTTTGAATAGTTATTTAAAGGATGAGAGATATTTGAAAAATAAATTTACAAAGAGGTAGAGAAAAAAAAATATAACTAAATAAAAACGTATGAAAGAGAAATAGTATTTTAAAAGTTAAAAGATAAAATAGTCAATAAAATGTGTATATAAAAAAATATATCACCTTTATAAATAGTAAGTAAGGATAAAATATAATTTATATGATAAAATATTTATTTATTAAAAAATTATATATAATTTATATGTATAATTGATAATAATAATAATAAAAGGAGATATTTGTTTTTAATGTACAAAATTTTTAGACTATCTTTATAACTTTTACATTATATCCCATTTTATCCTTTATAAACTACTCAAAAATGGTCTCCCATTATTAATTACTAACTATTTTTTACATCAAATCATAGAATATTATTCTTCAATCATAATTAATTATCTTTTATTTTTATTTATTAAAAAATACACAAAGACACAAAATATTTTTTTATGATAGTTTATATAAAATAAGTTTATTTTGATTGTACTTTTAGCAATAATTCTCAAATAAAAATATTTTTAGAAGTTCATTTTCTACAACAATCATTTTAGAAATGTTTTCAACTTCTCAATGTTTTCGATCTATCTTTTTTATCTTGTATTTAAATTAAATTTTAATATTTTTAAAATAAGTTTAATAATTAAAAATAATCTGCATCGCAATATAAATATTTGTCATAAATTTAAAATATAATTCATTACATATGTTTAAAAAAAATATTTTCTAAAAATTTGAATCACAATATAATTTATATAATTCACCCTTATATAATAATTATGAATAAATATTTTTAACAATAGTATTTTTAAGAGTTTCTTTTAAAGGAAAACGTTTTTATACATTTATTAATGAGAAATTTTTTAATATTTTTTTTTAATTTCTTATCTATTTCAATTTGTATTTATTATATACTTTTAAATTAAATTTAATAATTTTAAAATAAATTATCAAAAATTAATAATTATCTTACTTTAAAGTATAAATTGTTTTTCATAAATGAATATTATATGTTCAAAAATATTCATTTACATATAACTTTTTAGTTAATATAATTTATATATTAAAATATATAGTACTTAAATATATAATTTATGATAAATTCATATGTAAAAAAAAATTGCTTTGGCACCTGTATCTCCATTAAATAAAATCGATCCTTTTATCAATTTTGTGTGTTACTTTTTTTTATTATAAGTATAAAAAAACACACACACACACAAAAACAATTTTATTTAAATATAAATAAATTTAACTATTTTGTCTCATTTAATGATATTCTCTTTAAAATATCCCTCATTTTAAGCATGATTTTTTAATTACACTTTTTTTATATTTATAATAAGAACAACTTAAGAAAAATATTATGAAAATGATAAAATTTGATACAAATAATTAACTTTTTTAATATATGTGTATATGTAAAATCAGTTGTTTTTGTTTATATCAGAGAATAATGAAAGTAATAGCATTAAATTTGGTTAATGCAATAAATATTCATATGACGTGATATCTCTTGTAATTTTTCACATTTGAGCAAGTTCACCGAGTTAGTATATAGTGATGCAAACAATCTTGTCTAATAGAGACACTTGAAAGTTAAAGTAAAAGATAAAAAATAAACTGATGTCAAACTAAAATATAAAAAAAAATGACTAAAAATATATTTTAATCTTTAAAAAAGTATAATATATGTTGAATTGAATTTTATTTATTAAAGTATAGAATATTATTTAAATTTTAAAAAAAAATATACTTATTATTAAAGTTTCAGTAAAAAAACTTTTAATTTACTGAATAGATTATTATAATTTAATATACAGAGAGAGGGAAAGGATGAAAGTTCCTCCAAAAATAACTAATAAAATGAATGATGCACTTTTAGAAGAAGAAAAAAAATAAGTAAATAGAAATTATAAGATTAAACAATTACAAATGTTTGTCTAATTAGCTAAAATTTGGTAAAATAAATTATAATATTAGGAGTTATAATTTTCTTATTTAGTCAACTCACTATAAGGAGAAAATGATATTTTTAGTTGTAACTTCATGTCTAAAATGATAATTAAACATCAGTCATTAGTTAAATAACACGTATTTATCAAATTATTTATACATATAATTTTCTATATCTAAAATTGGATATTTACATGAAGAGTTATTGTAGTAGAGACTAAAGAACTACTCTCATAATAAATTTGATCTCTCCTCACTAAAAGTGCATGCATGCAAATATATATATAT